AGGCATCTTTACTACCAGGTAGCAGGAACTCCAGACTAATTGTGTTTACAGAGGACGGTGAACCACCTTCTGGAAAAGCCTGCTTTTCCGGGGGAATTCAGCAGCGAAAATGATTTTTCCCTTTGTCAAAACAGAGTCTCAGGGTTTAATAAAATGGTCATCGGGTCCCTCCAAAACCAGGAGCACGGCGTGTTGATTAGCCTTATCTGCAGCCTCCTCATTCATTCTCCTGGTCACACAGGCGGCCGTGGGAGAGTAAATACTGCCCGGACCTTACCTTTTCACCTCTTCCTAATCTTCCTTTAGGGGCGCCTAGCAACTGTCCTGCCCTGAGAACCCAGGGAATAAGCACAGGGCTGTGAACTCAGACAAAGCAATTAGCCTTTTGACCAATATCAACCAAGAAGAGGGAAGCTAGGAGGCTTCATTCTGGAAATTTTCTCAAGGAAGTTAAGCTGACTTTTAGGGCACTGGACCCTACCAGAGATAATATAAAGTCAGGAAAAAGTGTACCTCCTCACTTGCTCCTTTGTTCTTCCATTTTACCCAGAGAAGTGAAAAGTGAAGCGACCTGTCTTCAAGCAGAGTGCTGGGTTTTGCAAAAGTAAGGGGCAGTGTAGCCAGACCTCTTCCAGGGGAGGGGGAGGGTGGCGGGCGTGCCTGGACATTCAAACACAGAGGCCAGCTTCGGGTGTGCCCTCCTGATCCTGGCTGCCGTGCTCACAAGAGATGCCTCTCTGCTGGTATCAAGTTTGATCCTTGTAACAGTTCCTGAAAAGAAAGAAGAGCTATAGCTGCCAGCAGTTTAGGGGCCAAGAGAGCATCTCCAAAGCTGATGCTCAAATGTCTGTAGTCATTATTGTCTAGTTCTCTCTCCTGACAGAACTAGTTATAGCTGTTGATCTATTGGAATGCATAGCCACGCCTGCGCCTCTCTTCTTTCAATGGAAGCCTTAACTAGGGCCCAATATGTTGTTATTTGGATGGATGGGTGGATGGATGGATGGATGGATGGATGGATGGATGGATGGATAGATGATTGAATGAAAGAGTAAATGAATACTTTTTCACATGCAGTATATCATTCCATCTTCAAGACAACCTGGTAAGATACAGGAGTCACACATTCCTCCCTTCATTAACAAGTGTGCAAACTGAGGTGCAGAGGGACCAGATGGCCTCCTAAGGTTCATGGAAAATGAGCAACACCTAATTAGTGCTCACAGCATTCTTTCCACCCTGGGAGGAAAGATGAGAAGCAAGGCCATCCACAAATCACACCTTCACTGTGTATATCTTTCAGTTGAGTCATTTAATTAATAAGTAATTAGCCCTACTCCCTCAGCGTGGGTGACCTCCTTCCCCTCCCCCTCTGTTCCATCCACTCACGCCCTGTGCTCACAGGATTTCACAGCCCAGCAGAAACCCTTGCTCCCATGGTACCTTCCTGAGACACGTCAATGGAAGGTAACCTTTCCCCTGCCCAGAGCGCCTCCCTAGTTCATGCTTTTCTTTCCTGCCTCATCTCCTCAGCTAGACTGTTGGCTGCCTCCCTGGGCCCTCTTTGTGGTGGTCAGGACCCTAGTTATGCCCATATGACCACTCCCACCAGCCTGGGAAAGGCTGAATAGGAGGAGACATTTGCATCAATTATTTTGGAGCAACAACAAGGCCACCCCAAGTAGGGAAATCAGGTAACGTGGGAGAGTGATTGGAGTGTAATCCGCCTTGGTCTTCCTATTTCTGGACACTGTGCCGGTACTTCCTTGGCCCTCTCCATCCCTCCTGCATTCCCCCAGGCACAGGGTTACTATAGAGCAATGAAATCGATTATTTTTCATTCATTTGAATGAAAAGACTTTCCCTGAAAGTACTTTCTTATTGTAATGACATCCCCATTGTTCAGAATGTATTGATATCTCTTCTGGCATTTCTTTTGCTGCTGTTGAATATTCTTTTGGATAATTCTCATCCCTGAAGGTAGGTTTGGCCAACGGCTGTTTGGCCGCACAATAATGACAGTGTAAATGTCTGGAACACTTTGCAGGTTCATAGAACTATGACATCCTTGATGCTGATAGATTCAGAATTAAGATTTATAACAAAGGAAGGTGAGAAGTGTTGTTCGGGTAGGAATTTTGACATCATAACAGAAGAAAGGGACAGGTTTTCTTGGGTGGTGCCAGGCTGCCCCACAAAGCAGGTCGAAGCACCAAATTCTGGACCAGCTTTGAGTGAGGGCATCCTACTGGTCTGCTCAGGGGACAGCATGGGAGGGTGGAGTGGACTTGCATGCAGTCATCCTAATATGCTACTTATTAAAAATTACAGCTACTGCATTAGGGGCTTTGGACAAACAGCCACAAAGTGTCAGGTGCAGAGCCACAGAACAGGTACAGGTCTCCTGTGTGGATTTGCTGTCTTCGGGGGCCAATGCAGTAAGTAGTGAGACAGGTGCAGGAGCAGAGGTCTGTAGGGACAAAAGCCACACGGGAAGGATCTCTCACATCTTGGGGTTGATGGGGCAGGGACTGCTGACCAGGCGGGGGGTGTCAGGAAAGACCTCACAGGATTTGCGCCAACCCTCACAACCACCCCCAGGGTATCAATATTTTTACTGTGCAGATCAGAGAAGTTAGAGACCTGAACAAGGTCACACAGCTACAAAGACTGGAAACCAGATGTTTCCTCTCGGCCTGGCTCATTGGTGTGTGTCCACATAATAGCCCTTAAGTACTAAGCATCAGAATTTGAATCTCGGTCCCCTTGAATCCCAACACAGTGCTCTTTCCTCTGTAGAATGCCGCCTTCCTTTTCTGGAAAGGTCAGGTCGTTTGCTGTTTTTTCCCTTTAACTTTGTCCAGGTGTTTTAACTACAAGAAGGCACCTAGAACAGTTCCTGACTCAGTAACCAGAAAGAACTGGCATGGGGTCTGCCCATCGGTCCCTGTGAAGCCTTGGGAGGTCACCTCCCCTCTAGGTTCCTTTTTCCTCGCAGAGAAACCAGGGGTGGGGGTGGAATTCAGGGGAAGGGTGCTGTCAGCGCTGAGCCCCATGGCCAGAGAGGGGCTGCGGCCGCAGGAAGTGCCAGGGGGAGCCGCCTCTGTGTGGCTCCCATTCAGGACTGCGGCCTGCGGTTGCCAGAGCTTCATATTTTGCAAGAAAACTGCTCAGACTTTATTTTTACTTGAGATCTCCTGATTTGTCAACATCAACAACAAACTCATCTTAAAATCATGGAGTGGGTCAAAAAAAGACACGTCTGTCCACCATGGGGACGGTCTGGCCACCCGTTTGCCACGTCCCGATTATGTGGCACTTGAAGCCTCTTCTGGGTCTGGAATTTGGCAGGCGAGTGCAGGTTGCTCATCTCTCCCTGGTCGGGTGAAGGTGCGGAACAGTAAAGTCTCAATGCCTTCTGTCTGTGAGGCACGGCTGGTGACGACGCCCTGCTCACAGGGGCAGGCGTCCTAGTACCCGGGCGGCAGGCCCCCCGGCCCCGCCCTCCCTTTGGCCGGCAAGATGGCTGCCCTCCCTCTCGCTCCCATCCCGCTGAAGGCAGCCAAGTCCTCTGGGCACTTTGTCATCCCCAGTGCCCTCGGGTGTGCAGATGAGGAGCTTTCCTCTCCAAAACGGACAGATCAGACGGACGGTCACAAAGCAGGTGTGTGCAGTGAATTCTCAGTTACAGAGAAAGGTGAGGTTCTGGAAATATTTTGTAGAAGAAGATGTGTAAATATGAGAAGGATCATCAGATACCATCAGCTTTTACAGACTGGGGCTGCTCAGAAGGGAGTCTATAAAGCAGTCTTCACAGACTCAAAGGAGTATTGATTTTTTAGGAGCTGAGGGGGTCAAAATGACATCCCTTGCATATGGCAGCCCCTGCTTCATCGCTTGGGACTTTTATGACAAAGAACAAAGTCAGGAAAAGGCAGAGAGGGCTGGGAAAAGGCACAAAGAGGAGGGCACGGGCTGTCCCCGAAAACCCTCCCAGGCCGCAGCACTGAGCGGTCTGCATCTGCTCGGGATAGCCAGACCCTGGTATTGTGTTGTGGCTACTGTGGTTGACAGCCACCCCTGGGGACCGCGCTTTGTGTCTGCAGGAAAGCCGTGGGATGGCATGGCAGGGCAGGCACAAGCCCGAAGACCCTGGCTCTGGTTGAGGCCTCCGCTCCCGCACGTACTGGATGTGCCCAGAGGCACCAGACACATCGGGCTCAGCGGGACCAAGATGAAATTGGCATGTCCTGATTGCGTGGCCCCTGTGATTGGGGTGCCTGTGTTTGCTGGTGCCTTTTGGTCGCCAAGGACAGGCATGTAGAAGGAAGGAAGCAGTCACGCTTATGCTATTGTGAAGGACGAGCAGTACCTCTGTGTCTCTGCCTGGGCCTGGGAGAGGTCCCAGCCTGAGGGGGGCGCGGAAGGCTTCTTTAGGAAGGGAGCGGGTTTTATTTTTCAGAAGAAGACCATTCTGGTGGCTGCAGCCAGGAAGGTTTCAGGGTGAGTAGTTAACAAAGAAGCGGGCTCTAGTGTGGAGTGTGTGTGGGAGCCTCTGCCCCTGACGGCCGTGCAGGGCACGGGGGCGGGGGCAGGAGGAGGCCTCAGCCTGCAGAGTCAGATTGGCCCCTGCCCTGCGCTAGAACTTGGTGGGTGTGGCAATTTCCCCTGGTCTGAACGTTAATGCCAACTGGGGCATGTCCATGGTGAATCAGTTCAAGGACGCTACGATTCCGGGGAAAGGTGGGACTTTTCCTCCATGAGTCAATAACAGATTTTATCGATTCATGTTTCTGAACTTGGTACAATCGCAGCCAGTCAAATCTCCTTGCTCAGACCCCATCTCTTTCTCTGTGCACACACCCTGCTCCTCCCCTAATGTTTCCTTAAGGCTCAAGGCTGAACTTGAGCTAAAATATTTATAAAGAGAAACTGTAAGCAAAGCTTATTATTTAAGGTTATGTTTACCTAACAGCCAACGCTAGTCTTTCATTAACCAGGTCCTGGTGTGGCCGCTGGTCGCTGGTGCCAATCACGGGAAGACTGAAGGTCTCAGGTCCACAGAGCTGCTCCAGGTTGCTCACGTCTTACACTGGCACCCACGCTCTGCTCACTGTTTCCTGAATCACCGGCCCTTGGGAGAGCTCAGGGCTTACTTCAGGTAATAAGTAACTACCTGTCACCAGATCTGCATAGATAGAACCCTAAGAAATGATTTCGGCAATGGCCCTGCTGACTTAGGGGATTAGCCTAATCTCCCCACCAGCCAGTCTGTCTCCTATCTCCCTGGGGCTGCCCAGTCGGCCCATTCTCCTGAGCAAACACTGGCCACAGGAAGGAAGGAAGCTTGTTTGGAAATTGAACATAGCAGAGACATGGTTATCTTGCAAAGGGCCGCTGTATTTTGAAAAACGGGGGGAGAATAAGTATTAACCGTTCTTAGGAATCCTAAAACCTCACCCTGGTTCATCCACTCAACAACAGTGGGGCCCTACAGGAGAAGAGGACTCCCCAGCTGCAAACGGCTGGGACAAGAGTCAAGGTCAAACTGCCGGGCTCTTCAAGGCTATTTTCACAGCACTGCCTGCACCTGCAAAACGGAAGCAGGTGATGACCCCTTAGCGAAGTAACAGAACTAAAGCCAACACCGTGCTTAGCTCAGCAAGGAGAAACCTGGGAGTTGGGAGGAACAGCCCAGTGTCTCAGGATAGGACATACTTTAAAAAGGTGCTCAGATTCACGGATATCTCCCCATCATCCTTGACAGTGATCCCCTTTACAGGTGAGGAAACTTAGTTTCAAAGAAGTGAAAAGACTTACCCAGGGTCAGCCTGACCAATGATCTGACTGAACTGTGCCAGCCCAGGCCCTGCTGGCTGGTGTGCATCCCGTAGTTCAGTTAACGGCAGGTGGTCATCTCTGGGAAGGATGCGTTGTAGTGTCTTCTTTATTAAACGGCTCCCCAGTGATTCCGTTCTGGCCGCAAGTTATCTTGCTGAGACAGTCTCAGGTCTGTGAAACGTGTGTTCAGGTTATACAATGCAGCATTTTTTAATGATTGGAAACAACCTAACTTCCCTTGAGTGGGATTATTCACATAAACTATGGTGCATCTCTGTGGCGGGACATTATGCAGTTAAAAGAATGAAACAGCTGTAGTGACATGTATGTACTGACATGAAGTGAACCACAAGATACCGTGTTAAGTGAAAAACCAAAGTACACAATAGCGTGTGTAGCATCTGCCCTTGACAAAGTGTGTATGTACGTGTGTGTGTGTTTGCCTGTATAGAATAATTTGAGAGAATATCTAGGAAATTGGAAACACTGGTTGCCTTCTGGGTGCTGATATCTGGCACATAGTAGGTGCTCAATGAGTACCTGTTGTCGGAGGAACAACGTCTACCCTGGCCCACATTCGTTTTCCACAGGCATGAAATAGAAGTTCACGTATCCGATTATTCTTATTCCCCAAAGTTGGCCCAGGGCCCAAGCCGCGATCTCCTGGCTTCGCAGAGCGAGCGCCCCTGCAGCGAACCCCCAGCAGGCCGACGCGCCCAGCGAGCCCTGGCAGCAGAGCGCTTACTTCGCCGCGTCGGGGAAGAAGCTCAGCAGCTACTTAGCGTTCTCCAGAATGCTAAAAATGTTTTCTGGTCAAGACTGCCAGGAAGTAATATTCTCTTCAGTAAAAATAACGTAAAAGTGACCCAGACATAAACTCTGGTAAAAATCACAGGAGAAAGCCAAAGTCGAAAATGCCTCCCTTTCTTTGTTAATTATTAAGTTTTGTCAGAGAAACGTGGGCTGTCGTGCTGGCAGGGTCACCGGTGTGGGGCCGCGCCCGGACAGCCCACCTCCCAGCCCTGCCTACCCCTCGGACCGCAGGTCCCGCATCTCTTCTCCAGAGTGAACTGGGTCAGGACTGAATGAGCTAACGCTGCTGCTGTGGACGCAGAACAATAACCCAGTGGATGTATCTGCTAAGAATTGAATCTTTTATTACAAGTAAACTAAAAATAAAGACTTTAAACCAAAAAAGTAATGGTACTCATAGAGCACTTGGCTCCAGACACCGCTGTAAGCATGTTACCAAAACAAACTCATTTAATCCTTCTAACAAGCCTAGGAGGTCAGTATTATCATTGTCCTCACTCTACAGGGAAGGAAAAAGGTTAGTTAACTTGCCCCAGGTCCACATTTAGTCATTCCTGGACTCAGGATTTGTACCCAGAGTGTCTGGCTCTAGAATGTGCTCCTAACCGCGATACCAGAGACCAAGGGAGACGTGAGGCACTGGACAGCCGGCAATCAAGAGATGGCTTCGACTCCTGCAGCACGGCAGTCAGAGCTGAGATCGACCACCATCCGGCTCCAGCCACACAGACCTTAATAAAATAGGGTGGAAAACGGAGTTCAGTGTGTAGCCAACTTGAAAAGAAAGAAAGAAAACTCCTGAGAAGCCGGAGACGTAAAGACTGTAAAGTGGAGCCCACGGGCCCTGGAGAGCCAGGCGGGCGCAGGTCCTCCCTGGACATGGGTTCCTGTGACCTGCGTGGCGTGGGGCCCAGACCCAAGACCCCGCCTCCAAACAGGGCCTTGGAAGAGCTGCATCCTCCGGAAAACCTCCGAGAAGACTGGCGAAACCTCTCCCGGTGGCTCAGGGAAATGGCAAAGATAGGCGTCACCTGTCTGGGGCACCAGGGGAGCCAGCGTCTCCCTGAGGAATGGGAATCCCAAGACTGAGTGTCCCACGGGGAACCTTGAATGTAAACTCCCCACGGGCAACAGTGCCCGAGCTAAGAAATTCTTATAAAGATGCGCACACGTGGCAGAAGCAAGTGCCCACTCTTATACTTCCACCACCCAGGGCACTTAATCTGATTATTATTGTTGTTATAAATACACTGATACATATTTTAAATTTTCCTTAGTTTTAATTTCTAATCTATTCAATATGTTAGGTATACTCAACCTAAACAAAAGCTCTTTGGAGTTTTCAGTCACTTTTAAGAATGTTGAAAGGTTCCAAGAACTGCTGCCCTCAAGCTCGGCAGGCTGTGACAGGCTTGGGGGGCCAGGATAAAGGGACCTGTAACTTGGTGAGGCAAGCCACCCGCGAGGCCCACCACTCACCGCTCCCGCCCCCTGTGCATGGCCTGCTGCGACTTTGTATCTGCGGCCACTCACATGTAGGTAACATGAATGAAGGTGTCCTGTCTCAAGGGCCCAGTAATTAGGAAGTCCAGTCATTTAGTGTCCAAACCGGGATATTTTATTTGAAGGAACATGCAATTCATCACGCGGTCAAAATCATACCGTGATAGTCACAGGCAAACGAGGACATATGGTCAGCCTAAAAACAGGTTTATCTGTGCTCTTGAAAATAACTGGAGACGCAGGGTGGGAAAGTCTCTGAGGGTGGAAGACAGTTGACTGCCGTTCACCTGTGGGTGATGGTCCCAAGCACCAGGGGGGCAGGAGGCGGGACCTCGGGGATGGACGGCTGTGATCAGGCCCAGGGGCGGGAGCTGCCACCAGCGACCTTGAGTGGAGACCGGAAGGAAGGCGGGCATCCCCGTGGCTTGGCCTGGCATCCTCAGGCTCGGCCTCACTGAGGTCCTGGTGCCACGGGGCTCTCGCCACCGAAGTGTCCTTCACTAAAAACTGAAATGAGACAGAATGCTTCTGGGCTACGGAAGGGTAATGGATGAAGCGGGTTGATTCTGGAAGTTTTATAGGTACCAGATGAACAGAAAAGACTCTGTTCATGTGGACTTCACCCCTCATCATCCTCCAAGAGGAAGGGGGTAAGTCCAGCGCACTGACTTTGGCCCTCATTTTATTTCATCTCTTTGCAAGTTTCTCCACTAACTTCTGAGATCCCCTTACGAGTGGAGTGTTAGACATGTCACGTGTTTTGTTGTCCTAAAGTGAGCACAAGCACATGGGCATGGAAAGAAGAAACAAGAATCATTTCCGGATTTGTCCTGAACAGTTGGCAGCATTTGACAAAGTGTACAGATGACATCACATCCCATCAGCTTTGACGTCATCTGACCCAGACACGGAAATGAGGTCTGTGCCCAGCTGTTTGCAGCGGCCGCGGTGCAGTTGCCTGTCTGTCCCCAGAGATGCAGGGTGGGAGCTCGTGCCTCAGGAGCTCAGGGACGGTCACACAGGCTGGCTCGGAACTGGGGGCTGGGGTCCCAGGAGGTAGGCCCAGCTCAGCCACTGCTTAGCTCTGGGTCTTGCCTTTTCATTTCCATTTTTTGCATCAAGCAAAAGACTTTATTATTGGAGATAATAGAGTCTCCCTAGGATGTGGTGGTGATTATAGCTGAGTTCGTGAATGTGTTGGAAGCTGTCAGTAATGTCAAGTGACATGGCACGTATTCCCTGCAACACAAACCCTACAGGAGAGATGTCTTGAAAGCCAGTAAAAGGTTTCGCTTTAGTAAAATAATGATTTGGTCGCCATTTAGAAAATGACCACCGTTTTTTTAATGGCTGCATGGGATTTAAAAAGGAAAAGCAGGAAGAGGTGGAGGGAGGGGAAGCAGGAGGAAGAGAGAGTGAAGATAAAATTAGACGGACAAGATTGGTTCCCTCAGCTTGGAATTCAATCCTGTCATCTCCTTGACAACTGGCCCTGCGGAGGGACAGGGGCCAGAGGTCAGGTCCCAGCGGTTCACCTGCCTCAGCAGAAATCCCGGCCCGGGGCCTGCCTGGTCGGCTGACTGGAAAACCTGAAGTGGGAAGTGCTGGCCAGCCTTCGTGTGCCTTCTCCCCTGAGTCTGACCCTGGGTGGGGGGCAGGAGGCACACAGGGTCGCTGACCCCACGGGGGCTTCGGATGTGAGGGGGCATCACGGGAGAGCCCCAGCGACGGTCATCAGGGAGTTCTGTCCCAGGCTCAGAGTCTGGAGAACCTTCCTGAGCCTGTCTTCTGAGAGACAACGGATTCTGCGCCCTCCCCACCCCCTTCCCAATGGAGAAACAATACCCGCCGTCTCTGCGGTGCTGTTGGGACCAGCGGCAGCTCTGTGGTCTCCCTGGGCCAGCCTGGGCTCAGGAGGGCAGGGCTGGGTCAGCGTCAGTGTCCAGCCCAGGTCTGGGCCACTGTGGTGTTGAAGACCCCCCGTGGTCCTGCTGCAGCTGGTCTCGGGGACAGTGTTGGAACCAGGACGACACCGCAGAGCAACCACTGCTCCTCTTCCTGCAGCGTCTCACCGGTATTTTCTCTAAATAAACCACTGGGAGTCTGCCTGTTACAGAGTAGACTTCAAAGTTGACATGGACAGTTAAGGGAAAAAACTAAGGAATTCCACACGTCCTACTGCTGTGGGGTTCCATCCACACACTCGCCGTTGTCAACCCGCTCCCTCCCCCCACCGTTAGGGTGCTTTGTGGGAAAATGTGGAAATGGCAGGTCTGATATGTTACCTTTCCCACAAATACTTGCCTTTTAAGAGGACCTCAGGGAAAGGAGCCCATAAACCTCTCCAAAATGAAATTATACATAAATAAATGAAATGATGGGAGGACTGCAGATATCGTAGATCAGGCAATGCTTGGGAATAGTGGGCCTTCGGGGCCCCTCTCCTGGTGCCAGACAGATAGTAACGAAATAGCAGCCACCATTTACTGGGCACTGGCAGGTCCGGCGTGTCTGCAGGACAGGCTCTGCCACCCTGCCCCTGCCAACGGTGACACTGCCCTTCGGAGACACTGCCCTACTCACTACCCCCCGGCAGGTGGGATTTGCATTTCAGGGGGCCAGGTCTCTTCTCCCCCAACCTCGGTGGGGCCCTCTGGGAAGTGAAAACTGGCTGTAGGCAGAGGACTCACCCTGGGAAGGCAGTGACGAGTCAAAGTAGCCTCTGTCCCTCCAAACCCTCCAGGTGAGAAATGGCCCTTTTAAGCCAGGAACTACAGGACAAACCAGGAAGGCGCGTGTCTCGCAGGCCCTCAGGAAGCTGACCCCGAGCTAGGGCGGGGTCCGGACTGGCGTCTTTCCAAAGTGAATTCTCTTGCTTTTGTGGCTTCCCCTTCCCCTGCCGACTGTCACTGCTGTGGCTGCTCCTGCTTGTTAAGGTCCCCAGGTGGGCCACGATTAGATTTCCGGCAGGTCATAACATTATACCTGGATCATATCTGGGGTAATTGCCTGAAGCTGGTTGACGTCCTTCCTCTGTGACAGGCCCCTCGCCCTCTGAAGGCTGAACCCCTCTTTCTGACAGACGTGGCCTGTGTGAGTTTCGAGAGGCGGTGGGGAATTTTGTTGGACATCTGGTTTGTGGCACCAGAGGGCACAAAGGGCAGTCGTTGGAAGAGGAGCCAAGCAATCACACCTCTAATAAAACCACCTGGACCACTACCGTTTGGAAAAAAATAAACAGCAGGGAGAAGAAAGAGGCCCAGGTCCTGGCACTGGCTCCCCAGAGTGGAAGCCCCCAGAGCCCCGCTTGCCCGACTCCGGGCTCGATGTACTGTCCCACCCGCGCCCCTGCTGAGAGCCAGTTACAGCCTTCCGGATCTCTCTCTCGAGTCTCATTACTATGCAGACCAATTTTTCATTCATCTGGAATCCACTGTAGCATTTTAATGTGGAAAGCCTGCTACTCCATTTCTCTCCCCCAAAGAAAAATGGCTTAATTTCTCCAGCTGATAGATTTTTTTCTGATCCTTTAGACAGTAGGAAAAAAAACTCTAGAAAATCAGCTGTTGGACTCCACAGACATTTTATGACGGCCATAAAGGTCTGTGGCAGGGTGATGCGCCAGGCAGCATCCTGACCCGTGGTCCCAGCACTGCTGTTATCAAGCTTCTGTGAACATGATGGTTAGAAAAATGACAGGTAGGTGTGTAGGTAGGTAGATAGAAAAATGGATGGATGTGTGGGTGGATCAACCGTAATAGAAGCTGTGGTTCCCCCGCCATATTTGAAGAGTATAATTCTTCCGCATATTTTTTTTGCAGACACGTGAGACCTTTTGACACTAAATCAGTCCAGAATCCCCCACCCTTAGCCCCAAATTGAGACAGATTTCATCAGCAGGGGCAAAAATCTATTTAGAAAGGAAATTAGAGGCAAAATTGGGGTTAATCATTTTAGCTGTTTTCTGTTGTTCAGCCCACAAGACGTAGATGGATGAAATCTTCCCATCTTGCCTGGGCTTCTTCCTCTGAGGCTGAAGACGGCCTGGTCCGGCCTGGGGAAGAAGTGGGCCGAGCACAGAGGAAGGCCAGGCCCACGCCCGGAAGAAGCGATTGGAGTTTCCTCAGAAGACTGCGGTAGTTTTAAGGCGTAGACCTTGGAGCCAAACCACATGGGTTCAAATGCCACATCTGCCACACGCTAACTTTGTGACTTCGGCAAGTTACTTCATGTTTCTGTGCCTCAGTTTCCCCATTGTACCTCATACAGTTATGAAGATTTAGTGAGTTGAATGCCTCACGTGCTTTAAACAGAGGCTGGCACATTGTGAGCACTACAGGAGGTAAGTCAGAGCTCCCCTCAGTGTGTAAGTTCATTACATGGAAGATGAGATTTTAACCCCAATAAGATCATCAAATTTAATTAACTCAGCTTTAAGGTTCAAGGCCAAAGGTTGTGCTTAACTGTCCCTCTCTTCCCTTATACTGCTTATTGATCTTCCCTGGGATCCAAATCAACACTCAGTCAAAGCAACAGCCCAGCCTTGGCCCCAGCTCTGAATGCAGAGAGTGAATCCTATGGCCCAGGGCGCTAGGCCAAGCTCTCTCCCAAGGGCTTGTACATCCAGGGAGAATTCCCTGCCTTCAGCGGCCTTGGAGGAACCACTGGGCAGCTAGCTGTCCCTCACAAACCCAGAAGAGTTGGCAGCCTTTATCCTGCTGCTTCATATTAAAATGCCTATATTCTCAGGCATGACTTAGAAGTTGCCCAATAGCCACACTAACATTAGTTGCCTCTTTGTTGAATGTGCTTACTGACATATGGCCTCTTTGGTGTCTGAGACCTTAGAGGAAATGAGGGTATAAAAGTGGAAGACAGATAAATAGTACCATTGAACTTTACCATGAAAAACTGTACCATTTTCTCAGTGTCCCATGTCTGCATGTCACAGTGATCAGCTAGAGATTTGGGTCCAAAACTGAAAACACCTGTTCCTGATAAACCTTGATTCCCGCCCTGTGCCCCCTGTTCCCTCCACAATGGGAGCCAGAGCTCTCCCTGCTGGCTTGCATCCATGACAGCGAGTTTGCATGAAGCCAGGGCATTTATCTTTGGAAAACAGCGTGTAAAACTAGAGTGTGTCAACATGATGGAGTACTATGTTGCCATAAAAAATGATAAGCATGTGCATTGTGTCAATATATGGAAATGAGTATGTGAAATAATGTTAAATGGAAACAAGCAGAACACCCAGTAGTTTGCACACAAATTACAATGCCATCAATAATCATGTCTGCATGCTCTTAAGCAAGGACTGCAAGCCAAGTTGGCGTAGTGTAAGCAGAGGATTATTTGCTGGACTCTTCTTTATGCCCATAGAATCTTACATAGTCTGTTTTTTGTAATGAGTAGTAGAACAGGACATGTGCGCTTAGACCAAAGAGAAGCATTTAGCTGCTGATACAATTTCTTGGACAAGAAAGGACAATTGCAGTGCTTAAAAATATGCCTCAAAGGGAGCAGCAAGTCTGCAAACCTACAGGCGTATGAACTAAGCAGCCCCTGCCCCCCCAGGCTGGCTGCAGCCATATTTGTCCAGATGGACAGAGGACCAAGCCCAGGGACGGAGAATAGAGTGGGGGCTTCATATAGATAGTGCTGACTCTTCACTCAGTTCACGCTTTGATTTAAAGGAGGGTGATCACATTACCCTGGTGTGCCTTAATTGTGCCCATTGCCCTAATAATTATTAGTAATAATGAAAATTATCAATAACATCCCTCTTATTTCAAAGGTATCCCTGTTAGGACATCAAGTGTAAGATCAGCCTACTTAAAGAGGCCACACAGGCCCCAACTTGTTGTCTAGCACCTGAAACGCTTGTATACAGCCCCTCTGTTTCTCACCTCACAATGCCCAGGGAACCAGGTTACTGCTTCTGCCCTCCCTTTGCAAGGACAGCTAGCCCTGGGTAGGAATCGGGATTACTGACGGCGCTGAGCTGGAGCCAGCTGGTGCCCGCCCACGAGAGCCACTGTACACACCTTCCCAACTCCACGTTCAATGATGTCATGTTAGTAGCTTGAAATCTGCATTGATGGAAGTATTTACACCGCGAAAATCAGGAAAACTGGGCTTTTTTTTTGTTTTTTCCCCCCACGGAGCTGGTTGTAAAATACTTAACAGCACATCTTGGATTGCTGGAGTCAGTGAAGCCAGAATGTAAACCAACTCATGGGGCTCTCTGATCACACCAGTTTGCACTTAGCCCCCAGCCAAAGCTCACCGCCTCATCCGCACAAAGTGCTGAAGGTAACCAGAGACCGTGGGATGTGGTGGTCCTCCCTTGCAGGAGGAAGAAATGGACAGGCATCCCTTGTTATTTTCCACACACATTAGAAACTAAACGAGAATGCAGACACCAGTCTATGCAATTGTCCTGGCAGATGGCAGCTTGATGCAGCCAGCTCATCCACTGCCTGGCCGGGTGGTGCGCATCCCGTTAAAGCAGATGACTGGTGGGGTGCAGCGCTGAGTCTGATCTGGATGACAGCTTTTGAACCACAGCTCCTTTGTCATACAAGTCACTGAAAACCCCTGCCCCAAGTGTGGTGTCACTATGCACAGTGGCTTATTCCTTGGCACCAACAATGTCATTAATTTTCCCCTCCCTCCCTCTGCAGCTCCTCAGGATAGTCCTTTGAGAAAGTCACATTACATGATCACATACAACTCGTGACTGTCACGTGCTATTTATTGGCAGCTCTCTTTCATAACCATGGCAAACATATGATGAGATTTTCCAAAGTTTAAGAGGTTTTTTTAGAGTAACTTACTGGCATGTGAACCTTGATTAGTGAATCGGCTAAACCCAAAAGGCTTAATGGAAGAATCAAAGGTGAAGGAAATTCTGAAATTCTAGTCTGATCATGGAACCTAGGACATTGAAGAGGAAAGAGTGGAAGGGACAATCACGGAAGTGACTTTGCAGTAACTGCATGCTTGGCTGTGTCGGCTTCGAGGATGAAGGGTGTGCATCGATCAGACATCTGGGCACAAAATACTCTGCTAAGTGGCACAGAAAAATTAAGACATGTGTTCTCTGCCTTTATAAACTAGTGGAAGAGACAGGAAGAAGGCCAAGGAAATAATGAGGTGCCAGTAATTGGGAGAGAGAAGACAGACAAAAATGGCAGTCTCTGACGCACCCAGTGGTGGAGGGAGGCTGCATCTGCGCTTGCAGCTGGCCTGGGTTAATCAGGGATGTCTGCTGGGAGGGGCTTTTGAGCAGGGCCTGTATGTGTATTCCACTAGCAGGTATTGGGGGGGTGGATTATAGCTTCGTGATCTGAAAGTGGACCGGAAATTATGAAATCCTAGAAATGAGGAAAGACCTTAGCATGTTTGTCTTCATTTCAACTCTCTTTATTCCAGAGCACTCCCTGACAACCTTTCATATCTTTTCTCAATGACAATTCCATTACCCTGATAGTTTCCTCAAAGTCTGAGTGAGTCTACATCCTCTATGGAAGAATTAGAACAGGTGATGGTATAACCTCTGAAGGGACAGCCAGGCTCCTGCTCTGCTCTAGTTACTCGTTTACTTTCCAGTCCCTCCCACCAGCCTGTGAGGTCTGTGACCACTGCCCACTCAGTGCCAAGTGCAGTGGGGGTAATGCAGCCTCAGCCTTTGCTGAACAGACAGGCTCTGCTCTGTGATTGCAGGGGTCACCACCTTGTGCATTATTTCTATCACATGCAAATCCTTATACCTGTCTCAGGTAAACTCCATTCTCGAAAAGACATTTTTCTGCTCACATCACCACCTTGCCATCAGTTGGAGCAAATGTTCTTTCTAGGTTTCTTCAGGCTCTAAGAAGGTAAAGTTTTTCAGTGATTTAAAGATCAGATTGTATTGAGCAAAACTTTTTGTTGAAAAAAATATGTATATTTGAAACAAACATTAATTTGTGCTTTGGTAAAGAGTTGGGTCCAATATAATCTTATGATGCTGAGTGAATATAGTCTGTAATAAGGGGGAAAATGGGAGACCAGAGAGCAATGATCCCAGCTATAGGTGATGACATTGATTTTTATGTTACTTAGATTTCTATACCCAAGGCAGTCAACTTTAAATTATACAAGCATCTGAGGAAAAGTCTGTACATGTTTGTATAAGATTTTAGTTCTATAAGCAGAGAGTCAAAGACAGTGACCTGAGATAGTGCTCTACAGACACGTGTCCCTGTCCTTGGGCACAGTGGGACTGAAGTCGTTCTTTCTGTAGATCTCGGTGGTATAGATGGTGCCCTTGGTGCCTTCACAGAAACCCCTTAAATGTCTGCTTGTGTTTCAGAATAGCAGTTAGATCACATGCCAATGCATGGTCTTCTCATGATCTCAGGACAGAGCGATCACCTGTCCCTGCTTTCCAGGTGTGACAAAATGGGGTGTTTGATTCTAACCTGTCACTCGTAGGCAGATGACAACTCTTAAAAGAGTTGAACTCTCATGTATATGTTTTCATCTTGAGATGCTTTTTATGAGTTTCAATAATGTGAACAGGTGGAGTTGTCTAAAACTCAGCTTTATTTTTTCATTTGTTCTGATAAGTAATTGACCAATTTTCTTGACTCATGGTTCATTAATCTCTATTGTCAGCTCTGGGGATAATTCTCTTTAGAAATTTTCTGAGCTTCTCACTAGGATGTGTGTTGTGGGCCACAAGTAGTATTTAACAATCCCTTCATTCCTCTGTGTCTGGGTTGATATGAGAGATTAAAAATTGGGACTTAAGTGATGCCCAATCCCAAATAACTGTAAAGGTAGAGCTAATTTCTGGAGCATGACAATCTGTTAAAGGGGTAGAAAGTAAAATCACAGTGTGTCTCAGATTTAATTAAATGGGTGAGTAGTCATTTGGGGACAGCCATAAGTTAGAAGTCTGCGTCTCTTTGGGATATTGGTGTTTTTTTCTTTTTCTCCCCAAAAGTTTATCCCAATTTATTGTCTCAATGAAATATAAAAGCCAAAATCTCAGTGGACCTTTTAAATTTCTACTCCAGTCAAAGCATTCCACTTATCAGATTGTACCCCAATTCCTAAGAAAGTATATTAGAGATTTTTTGTCTTGGACAAAATTCTTCACAAAGTCATAGAGCTAGTGGGAATGTCAGAGATCATATACTTCAATGTCCCCATTTCACAGATGAGAAAACCAGAATTTAGAGAGATCAAGTGATCTGACCAAGGTCACTCAGCACATTAGTGGCAGAGTGAGGGCAAGACCCATTCTGTGCTCTGTCCATCACACTACACTCTCTGTCTGGTATACAGACCACCTTGCTCCTGCTGGCTCTTATTTATTACCCTTTCTCATACTTATCCTACCACTTCCCAGGATTCAGCTGTTTTCTGGCCATTTATTTTACATTTTGGTCACCCAGTCTGCCATGAAGCATTCAATTTCACCTGATCTACTAAGTGCCTTTATGAATTGTTCTATAAAGTTGATGCTCTCATTTTTGCTTACAACCATGGTTGCCGGTCTCTGCTTTTACACCGGCACTTGAATCCTGGGCACATCACCAGCGAAGGCCCTGAATTCACTCACTTCTTTTTTCATTCTAGATTCCTCACTCTCTTCTAATTTTCACCTGAGATATTTTTAAGTTCTTTTAATCTTGGCCACTTGGTAGCTGTGCTGTCACTGTCCGTGGTGCTGATATTCAGAGCGGTGGCAACTGAACGGCCTGGGTGGGAAATGCAGGTATGGATTCTCCATAACACATCCGATTACTTCAGTAGACTACGTGGCCAAACAAAATTAAACAAAATAATCATTGGAAATTATAAATATTTGTATATTCTTAACCGGACTTATCAAAATTGATTCTCCTTTTTAATAATTCCTCAGGGGAAGAGCTGTAAAATCAAGTGGGTGATATTTAGTGATATGCTGGTAACTGTTTAACAAATTTTAAGCATTTTTCTCCAGGAGAAAAACACCATTTACAATGTTTTTTTTTATTTCCATGATATAAACAGCATTCCCACAATGGCTGACTTCAAACCACCCGTATGATATCACTGAATAAGAAGGCAGGAGGAGATATGAATGAGCAGCTGTCATGAGTTATTATAAGCTGGCTCCATGATACCATTGGCTGTAACCCAATATTGCATCTCAGGCCACCCAAACAAGGCCTCCCCCAAGGTGAGACATACCAGCAATAGTTCAGAGCAAAAACATCCAGAAGGAAGTGTCTCTGAGCTAAAGCCCTTCATTGAGACATGAGTGTAAAGCCAGAAGAGTGACGTACATTCAGAGGTGTTATGAGAAGTGTTTTTTAAATGTTTTTTAAGTTAGTATATTAGGATTAACATGAACTTGGTACTGTTTTAAAATGTTGGAGTTTTGTCCTTATGGTCTGTGGATGGGTGGGGTGAAGGTGTATCACATTGACTTAAAGGTATATGGCCAAGGCAAGTGGCCTGAATGCGTCCTGGGAAAAGATTTTCTCAGCTCTGGATCTGAAGAGTGATATCCAAGTTCCATGGGGTCTGTTGAAGTGCATTTTGCAATCATAGATGAAAGCCCACCTTTGTTCATTTTATTCCCAAAGGATTTCAATTAAAAATCTATTTTAATATTGTGTCAATGATAATAGTTGAGATGATATTTTGGTTATAAATGACAGAGCGCAAGTCCACCAAAAATGAGGCATTATTGGGAGAAAATGTGGGTAACTTCACAGATGAAGAAATACCCTAAAAAGACAATGATTCATCTGAGATTCTGGAAGAGTAGGTACCAGGAATATAATAATCAAAGACTGCTGTCTTTGATATCTTTTTTTTTTTGAGGTAGGCCTATAATGCTATGAATTTCTCTCTTAGGATTACTTTCCCAGTGTCCCACATATTTTGTATTGTTGTGTCCTCATTTTCATTTGTTCCAAGGCATTTTTTAATTTTTTCCTTGATCTCGATGTTGACCCATTCATTGTTTAATAACATGCTATTTAGCTTCCATGTCTTCGCATGTTTTTCCATGTTCTTCCTGATTGATTTCCAGTTTCATAGCATTGTGGTCAGAGAAGATGCTTGCTATAATTTCAGTCTTCTTAAATTTATTGAGACTTTTTTTGTGTCCTAACATGTGGTCTATCCTAAAAATGTTCCATGTGCACTTGAAAACTATGTATATTCTGCTGCTTTGGAGTGAAATGCTCTGAAGATATCAATTTAATCCATTTGATCTAATGTGTCATTTAAGGCCACTATCTCCTTGTTGATATTATGCCTGGAATATCTCTCCACTGAAGTCAAAGGGGTGTTAAAATCCCCAACTCTGACTGTATTTCTGTTGATCTCTCCCTTTATGTACATCCAGATTTGCTCTACATATTTGGGTGCTTCTATGTTTTTGATATCTGGTTCACTTGGGTATCAGCTACATTCTTCCCTTTCCCTACAATGCCACTTCTTCACATTACAGAGAACAAGGCATATTTCAAACACTGAACCTTATAGATGCTGTGGTAAAAATGACAGAACACTTTTAGACCCAAATCCAAGAATATAAAGATGAAATCCATTGTTACTAAGGAAATAACATCTTCCTCTTACGGTCAGCCAATCAGAACCACGATAGTAGGAGAACCATGCTGGAGCAGGGACCCACAGTACCAGGGCTCTCCTGATATAACTCCTAACCTGTTGTTCTCAGTAATAAATAGAGGCTCTCATGAAACCAAATGCTTGTAGCAACTTGATTTTTCAAGTGCTGCTACTGAGTAGTATAGGTCAGTTCTTTCCCAACCTGTTCGGGCATCAGATTCAGGCCCCAAATCCACCCAGAAGAATTTGGCCAGAAGGTTGAAACATGCGCCCACCCTTGACTCATGCTATCTCACAAGATCATTTTTCTTTGACTTCACAAGCCTGTTGTCTGATTTTGTTCTTTCTCTTATCACTGCTCCCAGGCTGTCTTCCCCCATCATGAATCACCCTCTCTTGTCTCCCAGTGCCTGACTCCTTAGCCTCAATATTTCTGCCCTCTCCCTTTGCTCTCTGCAGGAAACTGAAGTCTCAGATTTCGCTTCTAACTGAAGCCTGACATCTTTTCAGCACACATCAGAGCACCAGGAATTATTCAGACTCTAGTTTCCTCTGGCACATGTGCTTGTCAGCAGCCATCCTGAAAGGCACCCAGCTCTGGGCAACTCTCAGAAACTATTCAGAGAGTCAGAGAGGTGGCATGAGGGTCCTTCCCACAGGCTGCGTTGCTCTGAGTAGCAGGTTGGCTTCGGCATGGCACAGGGTTTTACATCCACCCAAAGCTTTGCCTTTTCCAGTTCATTGGGAGACACCACTCAGCTTTGCTACTTTGACCTAATGCACCTTATCTGTGCCTAAAATGTCACTTTACACTTTTAAAAAGAGATGCTCATGGCTGAGTGTCTCATTTCATGCTCCCTTGTGCTCAAGTTAAAGATGGGAGAAGAAATACAGAGAAGGGCTAATTGGTTTCTCCAGGAGATGCAGCAGGTGAGCAAATATCAAACTTGGCCCTCACTGAGCTAGCCTGCTGGCACCCTGCTGCTCTCCTGAATCACAGGTGTCGGAGCTAGAGGGAGTGTGCAGTTCTGGTCCCTCATCCCACAAGGAGGCTGCCCAGAGCCACCCAGCCAGTTGTTGGCAGAGCCTGTGTTAGAGCCCTGTCTCTGACTTCTGCCTATACCCGTTGAGCCACATAGCTTAGTTTCTCATTTCGGATATCAGGAAGACAGAGACCTTGGAAGTCATTCACCAGGGGCTTAGAGAGCAAGGAGCTAGGGACCCTTGAGAAGGGCCTTCTCCTTGAGATCCCAGGACCCCTGGTGGGACTGGAAGGGATGGAAACTGAAAATCTCCAAGAGCAGAACACACGTGGTGTGGCCCTACTTGCTGAAATCCATGGGTGGGGGTGGTAGGGGGTGAGACAGAGCAGAGCAGCCAGAGCTCTGGAGGGCTGGACCTGAGAGCTGGGGAAGCCAGGGAAGTGTTGTGGGGTGTGGGGTATACAGCGAGAGGATACTTGGGTGGCATGTGGAGGCCTGGGGGAGGTGGCTGGAAGAGGAGGGTGGTGATGGCCCCTGAGGTGGAAGCAAAGCCCTGGGCTCCCTGGGGGCTAGTGTTTGAGAAGAGTCTGGGGCTTTGCAAAGGCCAGAGTGATTAATAGAGCACAACTGGTAGACTTTCTTCTCCGGTGGAGAAGAAAGGTGGCAAAATAGGAGACTGGGCTCTGGGCTGCAAGAGCTCTGAAAACAGATGTCCAGGCTCCCATCTCTCCCCTCGCCCTTTCCTTAGGGCGTGTAAGAGTAAGACAGAGCCCAGGCACGGCAATGAACTTCTACACTCCTGCTCCCTCACTCCCTCTCTTCCTCTGCCACTTCTCCAGTCTCTCTGTCCTGCCTCCTCTTCCTCACCCCGCTCCCTTCCATCCCTCCCCTCTCTTTCCCACCACCCCTCCTTCCTCTCCTCTCCTCCATCCCCTCCCTCCCCTGACCTTCTCATCCTGGCGCAGCTGTGTTCTCTTCCGTCCAATTTTCTTATTATCAACATGTAGCTGCATCTCCTTCCCATGCAAGTGGCTGTGCTCCCTGACACCAGTATAAAAGGGGCATAAGTAGGCCCTCTTTCTTGGGGACAATCTTTGTGGCAACTTTGTGTGAAAGGCTACTTCAGGTTCTGCCCAGTAGTGTGTGTGCGTGTGTGCAGGCTGGTTGGAACATTGTTGGTTTGCTGTAGGGAAACCTAGTTTCCTTCTCCCCCTTCTTCCCAACCCTGCTCCAGACGGGAGTGAGCCTGTGCTGGGACGCCTGGGCCCTGCACTCCTGCCTCCTGCGAAGCGCTGCGGGGTTGGAAAGCGTGGTGTCGGGATGGGAGGAGAGCACTTGCCCTGGTTTGTTCCAGCGTCTCCACTTTGGACAACGGTGCAGCCAATCATTCCCCTTTCCATGAACTGCCTTTGCAAAGTGCAAATGCGCGATCCAGGAATGTCCTGAAAACCTTTAGCATTTATCTGCCTGAAATTGTTAGCTTCATCCCCCTAACAAAGTGCTGAAGCAATGGGACTTGGGCTTCAATAGAGAGAAATGCACTTAGGGGCGCAGCGGGGTCTGGGAGCTGGCAGAGGACAGGGTGGTCCTACAAGGTCCCTGGGAGCAGCTGGTTAGTCACAGGCGACTGGAAAGAAAATAGTAAGGAGCATTTTGCACATTTGATCCCCTGGCCTAGGACCACCGGACGGTATCCCATGTCTCCTAAGACAAGGTCATTACTGCATCTCTGCCCACTCTCCTGCAAGTGAATCACTGCTTCCGTTGCTGGTAATGTCACTTAGCACTTTGCTGCTTCTTCTTCTGGGCAAATGCTTGCAGCTCCCACCCCACCCCCACTCAACTCAGATGGCTCTACTACCAGTTGTGAAGGAACGAGCTTAGATTGGGGAGTGAGGCAGAGTAGCGTTGAAGCTTTTTCTGCTTATGTAACCCATCATGTAGAGAAGTGGTCTTAGGAGAAACTATTGAATTTACATTGTCCCATAAGCACTTTCTACAAGCCGTCTGATCCCCCTCCACCGTGGTCTGGTCCTGGGAGGCAACTGCTCTTGGCCTTGCATTTCCTTAGTCACTGCTCCTGTGGCTTTCAGACTTGGTCACGAGGGAGTAAAAGACTGAGGGATGTGATTTTTATTGTAAATAAAACCAATTTTATTAATAATTTTATTGAACTATTCAGATACCCTACCTGTCTAATCGCAAATAGTCACCCTGGCATAATCTCTGTGCCCTGTTGAAAGGCTCCTCTAGGCGCTTAATCAGCAGTTATTTCTCTTGCTGGTGTGTTTGCGTGTTTCCTGTCTGTCTGTCCAGCATGCAGGCTTCACTCCTTTCACCTGTCTTCGCCTTCTCTTCCTTGTCTTTGCCCCATGTGGTCCCTGCCCCCATCTCTCCAGCCTGTCCTCCAAATCAGGAGCACCTGATTGAGGACCTAATAGCAGGACCACAGTTGCTTTGCTTCTAAGGACGCTAATTACCCACTACTTCATTTGCATGTGAGCTTTCCTCATAGGATCATTGTTCATCGCAGGAACTGGTGGGGTGTGGCATGGTTAGGTCAGCCTTCCCCGAAATCTGAACTCTGCTTGGCCAAACTCCACGGTGACCTCAGCTCCCCTCCTCCTTCCGCTGCAATTTGCAATGCACCCCACACTTCTGCTTTCCCTGTCTCTGCCTGGGCCGGCTCCCATCACCCCGCAGTCCTTCCTAAATGGGCTGCTTGGTTCCTTTTATTTTTAATAATTCACCAGGATATCGTCCTTCTTCCAGTACAACAGAATCCACTTCTGAGTATCACTGCCCACTCAGCAGCCGGAACGTTCTCCCAGCAGCTGGTACACTGCTGGCGTCTGACACACAAGGGTGGGCAGCAAATCAGAAAAGGACAAAATAGGCTCAAGGAGCAAAAGAAAAGTTGAAAGAATTAGCACTGGGGAGAGCTCAGTGAATCGGGCACCAAAACAGGAGCTGAAGACCTTTGACAAAGAACCTAGGGAGAGAGTGAAATTGATAACTAGGCTATGGATTATTTCCCCGTTCCCATTTTTGGGCTGTGATTTGTCTTAGTTAAGGCTCTTGTAGTTCTGACAGGAAACAACTCAAAACTGGTATACGTACGTGTGGGGGAGGGGTAATTAGATGGATACAGGGTATCTCTTCAAACCCCGGGAGGGGGAGGGAGAGGGCCTCTGCTGTTGCCCCGAGGGCCTGCATGGGAGCCCTGAGCCAAGGCCAGAACCCTCCAGCACGAAGGCGCCCTCCTCCAGACCGCTCCCCTGCCTGCACCTGCCGCGCCTCTCCCTCCCAGTGGCCTCTGCCCCCGCCTGCACTGGGCAGCGAAGCAGCTCACAGCTCTTAGCATCACACGTGTGCACAGTGGTGAGGCTAACAGAAACTTCCGAGCCCCAGGCCCACAGTTCTCCATAGCGCGGCTGGTTTCCGCCAGCCACAGCCAGTCAAGACGTCTCAAGGAGGTGAAGTGAGGCTGACCAGATGGTAAAAGATCAATGCACCTCTTCTTCCCAATCAAAGGCTCTGGTGGCTGTTCTCAGTTTTCCTGCTTCTCACATCTCTGACAACCACTTCCTTCCCCATCTTTCATTTGTATCGCATGCAGCCCCTTGTTTCTGTCGTCCTTTTCAGAACACAGACCGCAATGTTCCCTAGAAACGGCCTCTGTCACTCGGGGCAGCCCTGTTGCTTCAGGACTTGGCGACATTCCGTATCAGAGGGCAGATCCCAGGTGGAGTGCAGGTCCCAGGTACTTACTGTTTTATATGGGGAGGGGGAAGCCCCCCGACAAGCTGGCTGTGGCAGGAAGCCGCACCACTTCCCTCCTCGACTTCTTCGTCCCCCTCGGTCCTGCCCCAGCCCGGGCAGCTCACTTTCCTGCGAGGAAAGCCGTCACCGAAGAGTCCCCTGTGGTAGTGAAGACGGCTTAGTAGTTGTCCCCCCGCCCCGGGTGAGGGCGCTCTGTGATGAACCTGGGCTGAAGAAAATGCTAAGCCATCAGTGTTTTCCATTTTCTAGTTCATTCATTCTATAGCTCAGTCTTCCAGCTGAAGATCAGTTCACTAGAGTTCTGTCTCCTCACTGTCTTGCTCTCTCGTTCACACTGTGTAATGAAGGAATGAGAGACTCGAAGAGACAATGAGGGGCCGTAGTAATGGCCCCCTGGTGTATGAAACTGGAGGAAGAGCCGGAAAAGGATACGTGGAGGGAACAAGCGAGGAACTAGCACATCGGGCGAGGGCTGAGAAAGTCAGAAACCCGGGGCTGCCACGCATGTGGCAGAGAGAAGGGGGCAGTTATGTTTACTAGGAAAAGCAGAAGTGAATCAGTGAATTTAAAAATCATTTCGTGGCTCTGACAAGTGCGGCTCAGTTGGCCGGGTGTCATCCTGCAAAGCTGAAGGTCTCCAGTTTGATTCCTGGTCAGGGCACAGGCCTGGGTTGGGGGTGTTGTCCCCTGTTGGAGCGCGTAGGGTGGGAGTGCGTATGGGGGGCACCCGGCGGGTGTTTCTCTCTCACATTGTTGTTTCTCCTTCTCTCTTCCCTACTCCCTTCCCCTCTCTCTAAAAATCAATGAATTTTTTAAAAATAAAAAATTATTTTGTGAAGGTCTTATATCAGTCATCAGTTGCCACCATATGCTGGTAACAAACCACCACAAAGCACACAGCAGTAACACTTGCTCACATCCAAACGTCTGGAGCCAGCTAAGGGCCGACTCTGTGGCTCTGCCGAACTGCTCATTTCTCACATGTCAGGTTGGCTGGTTGTCGGCTGATCTTGGCTGGGCTCATGCAGACTGGCTTGCTCATGTGTCCGCTGACATCCACCGGCCACGGCAGGTCACATGACAGAAGGTGTTAAAGGGTGGAGCAGTCACCCTGCCTGCAGGGCAGGGGAGGCAGCTCAGATTGAGGCCATTGTTGCAAAGAAAAAAAGAGTACAGATATTTAGCCAAAGTTTGAGGGCAGCTGAACTTATCATCACTGCTCTGAGTCTCTCATCGCTGGGCTCTGGGCTGAACCTGAAAACAAGGCCATCTGATGGGCACAGACATACGGTAAGGCTACAGGACGTTAGCACTGCACCAGCCAGGTCAGACAGCAGGAGCAGCTGCCTCCGCATGGAGACTGTGGATTTGCCCTGTTCGTAGCTTCAGGTTCACGGTCTCAAAGCCCCCACACTAGGGGACGATTCTCCTGGGGGCTGGTGGAGTTAGATTCTGCTCAACCACAAGATCCTAAGAACATTTCTGAACAGCATTGAAACAAATGTATTTGGTGCACTTTCCTCTCCAAATAAACAACATTAAACGTATGTATAAAACATGGCATTCAGAAAGCTCTGTGGTTCTTTATTAAGTAACCTCACCCTGATGTTTTCAATGAGACTGATCCAAGAGCTTTTTAAAAATTTACTATCATTCCCTTCTTCACGCTGAGTGTAGTAATCCTTTCAGGTCAGCCCTCAACTGGAGGACTTCAGGTCACCATTAAAATGTCTGGAGTTTCCTTTTCTTTCCTTTTCTTTCCTTACGCTTCCTCTCCTCTTCAGTCACCTGCTTAGGTTTGTAAACTAATTTTTAAAAATGTCCTATGTTCATACAAGAAAGTGATATCCATTAATGAAAGGAATTACGGTTACTGACCCACTCTACAACGTGGATGAGCCTTGAAAATATCACGCTAAGTGAGAGAAATCAGTCAAAGCACCACACACTATACAGCTCTATGTACATAAAATAGACAGAAGAGATAAATCTATAGGGACGGAAAGTAGATTCGTGGTTTCCCAGGGCTGAGAGAGATGGAGAAATACAGGGTTTCTCTTTGCGATCATGAGAATATTCTAAGATTAATATCTGTGACGAATGGATTTACACCTCTGCAAATATTCTGAAAGCCATCAAAGTGAATCCATTGCTGCACACACGAATTATGTCTTGGTACAGCTATTTGGATTCTTTTCGTTGTCTGACATTCCAGATCGAGGCATCCCCACCGCTTGTGTGCCCAGGCTGCTTGTGCACCTTGTCTGCCAGGAAGTTGGAGGGAAAAAGAGAGAAAGAGACACATAGAACATTTGTACAGTAAGAAAGCAAGACCCCTACGAATATTTTTTGTCAGGAAGGAGTAATGTTCCATTTTTAATTTTTAATTCGTTTAGGCCTGCTGACAGGCTGACTGTCATCCCTGAACTCCACACAGAAGTCCAGGAATCTGATGTCACCTATGGAGATTTCCGTCTGGCTGGGTTTTGAAATGCTAAGTAGTTCAAGGCCACAGGAAGTCTTATAAGGAAGCAGATTCTACAGGGGTTTTTGTATCACTAACAATTTAGAAAAAAGCCTCTGCCAAGAAGACACATTAGCCTTGATTACACTGCACATCCTTTATTCATCAGCCCTGTTCTCACTTCATTCATTACCAGGTTGAACTTGACATACGCAAGGCCTTCTGTGGCCCACAGGCCAGCAGACCACAAGCTATAGGTTAAATAAATTTTCATGCAGGAGTTTCCTGAGTCTGAAAATTACTTCGTAGTTTCCTTGAAAAACACTTGCAAGAGTGGGCGAGGGGGAAGGCCAGCATAGAAGAGGCTGACAGGTGGGAGGGAAAGACAGGTTCTCAGCGAGTAATTCTGGAGGATGAAAAAGTGAGAGCCAGGTGGAAGAACATCATAAACATGCCGTAGGTTTGAGATTTGGGACTGGAGCTTGTACATTTAGAGTGGTGCCAATCGGCCCTCTTGTTGAGACTTCAGCTGCAAATATTCCAGTAGATAATGGGGCTCATCCCAGGTTGGAATGCATTAAAAAAAGAACCCTGGCTGGTATAGCTCAGTGGATTGAGCACAGGCTGGGAACCAAAGAGTTGCTGGTTCGATTCCCAGTCAGAGTACATGCCTGGGTTGCAGGCCAGCTCCTCACTAGTTAGCAGGCACTCACAGCTTTCTCTGAGCCTCGGGAGCCGACTCTGGGATGCTGTGGTCAGAATGAGCTCTTAGTGGCCGGGCCCTGGAGGAAGCCAACACGAGGTCTTTGGCTCAGGCCTCCTTTCCTCTGGGCTCTACAGGTGCTGCTGGGCTCTGGGTTGAAGGTGAGTGGTAGGACCGCCCACTGGCAAGGGTATGGGGTCTGCTGAGCAGACTTCAACCAACATAAATGACCCAGACACAGGCACATGCCGCGGGGCTGCCCTTGGGAGTCGTCAGGGCGGCAGTGGGAGGCAAAGAGCCAGGGCTGCATTCAGAGCAGGTGCGTGTGGAATACCCCAAGCAGAACCTGAGGGCATTAGCTGGGTCCCCCCAGCTGGTCTGGCCTCATGACAGAAACAGCGACTCCTAAGGTCTTCAAGCAAAAAAAGGGGGCCACGGTCAGGTGCCCATGCTCTTTTGGAAGAAGGCCCATCTGGGAGACATTAGTGCCACCCACAGATATTTCTGCCTCCTGCCACACCCGCACACATAAATGGCTGGGTTGTACTTCTTGCTCCATTCAAGTGGAGTGTGGCCATGTGACTTGCTCAGGACAATGAAGGTGGGTCAGAGTATTAGTGTCACTTTGAGGTGGGAGATTTACGAGAATGTCAATCCATGGTATGTTTTAAAGATGGTGAATCTTCTGTCAGCCTGCGTCAGAGAGTACAGAGAATTAGAGCAAAGCTCCGTAGTCAGGGGCCACACAGAGCATGCAGAAGACATTGACTTTGTTACGGCAGCACAATCTAGAAATAACCCTGGTTTGTCACTGCAGCATGGCCTGGCTCATCCTGACTGATATATCCTCTGATTAACACTTGGCCAGACTGTGCCAAGGAACAGGAAACAGAGGAGGAAGGAGACAAATGTCTACTGATCCCCATTCTGTGCTCCTCCCGTTTCTCAGGGCTCTCTGTCCCCCCAATCAACCGGCGGAGGAGTCCATAGTTTTTCTCAAAAGGCTAATTGATTTTGCCCCCATGTTCTTGGCGAGCCGCCAGCGTCACTGCTCGTGCACAGGTGTTCCACATGGGGAGCTAGCTGGACTCAGGCTGTGCCGGGACCGGTGCCAGGTCTGTTTGTGTAGTGGCCTTGGGCCAAGAGGAGGCAAAGGTGAGAGCAGGTGTTGCACTGTGGTGCACCCCGAGCAGGGGGAAGAAGGCAAGTCTGGGTGGGAGGAAGCTAAGCAGGAGGGGCCTGGCAGGCTCAGGTGGGCTGTCCCAGGAGGGACCTGCCCCTCCTGGAGGTGGAGACAGACATGCTGCGTTAAACCGAGGACCAGCCTCACCTGAGATGAGGTGTCCTTTCATTCATTCAACAAATATGTATTATTCACTTACCATAGTGCAGGCACTTTGTCAGGAAATCGGGAAAACACTGAACGATACAGACAATAGCCCCTGCTCTCTTGGAGCCTGTGTCCTAGAGAGAGGCAGGAATCGAACCACTGGTAAGTGGAATACACAGCAGGTGGGACTGTGATGGCTGCTGCTCACAGCAGAGAGCAGGCCAGGGCGGGGAGCGTAGGCCGGGGCTGCTGCCTCCCCACCCCGATGGAGGGGTTAGAGCAGGTACGTGACTCCTGGGGGTGGCAGAGGGGACAGCAAGCTTGCAGACCCTGAGGGGGCCGTATACCCTATGATGGTTGGGACCCCTCAGAACCCAGGAACGGACGCCCCTCTCCCCAGTAGTTCAGCTATAGAATTGAGTGCAAGCGTTTAGTGGGGACATCACCTGCTTTCTATCAGAGGGGGCATTTTCACTAGTGGGTCTGGGTCCAGCCTGGGGCTGGAGGTGGGGTTGGGGCTGTTTCTCCCAGGGCCCTCTGTTCGTTAAAGTCCAGCTTCGTCCTGCAGGCCTGAACCCCTCCTCCAAACCCACAGGGGCTCCCTCCTGGCCAGGCTGGTGGTGAGTCCTGCATCTGTTTTCCTGCCCCTGAGAGAGGGGAGGGCAGGATGGGGGGGGGTGGAATGTCTTCAGCCTGGAGCCTGGAAAATGGAGGATGGATGGGCTGATCAAAGCCATCGTCCATTAGTAACTCCAGTTCCATTTTCCAGGTTTACATTCTCAGTTCATAACGGTTTAAAAACTATGGATTTTCATTTTGCTTGTTGCACCTGTAACCTCCCCAAGCACCCTCCGGGGTGCGGGTGTCAAGCAGCCAGGCCTGCGAGGTAATGTAGCACCTCAGCCACTGAGACGGGCGCCCGGGGACGGGAGGCATTAAACAGACCAACAACGACAAATCAATCAAGCCTTGCCCGGGGCCTCAGCTGGGCTGCTGGGTCTGCCCTGTCGCACACGGGCTATGTGCACAGGGGAGTGAGGGAAGCTGGTGGAAAATTCCGGAAAGTGCCTGACTAGGGCCGAGGAACCAGACCCAAACTGTTACTGTGAAAGAACCGAGTCCACAGAAGGGCCAGGGCATCCACCCTCCCCTGCCTGTCTCACAGCCCACAGGCCAGACTGACCTTCCTCACAACGCTGCTCTCCCCAGACCCTGGCCTGGGCTGGGACAGGCAGGGGACCGCAGCAGAGAGAGCTGGGCCCGACCACCTCGGCCCCTTCCCTTCTCCCTCCTGGAACAGACATGCACACCCTTGAATTTTCCAGTACATGACTGATTTGGGAGAGGGCAGGAAAAGACCGGTTGACAATTTATAGAATTTTAGCAAACCTGATTCTTTAAGTGTTCTCCACAGCGGGACGGTCAGGCGCAAAGGCAGACTCTAGGAGTGCTTGTTCCAGGCAGGAGACAGGCAGCCTGAGAGCCCTTTAGCGTCATTTCTAGGGCACTCACAGCCTCTCCTGCATCCCGGTTCCCTAGGCCTCTGCTCCACCTGCTTCCTTCAGGGAGGCTGAGCCTTGCCCCCCAGGGCTCCCTGGCCTCTGCTTGGGGCCACCCCTCTGTGCACAAGCCCCACAGCTCGGTTTTGCTCCACCCCCTCAGGGTTTTCCAACAAGACTCTGGCTCTGCACAGATGGCCTTTGACCTGGGGAGTCCTGCCCAGAAGGGCGGCTTCGGGCCTGGCTCCTCAGTGCCCAGGCCTGGCCAGAACCCTGCAGGGCCCCGGGCAGGCCAGCCACGGGGGACACGGGCCCTCTGCACTCCCCTCTCTCAAGTTCCCCGCCCTGCCCAGCTCCCTCCTGCAGGGTAGAGACTGTTCACAAGCCTTCCCCCACTCCCGCCCTGCAGAGAGACACTGTGCAGCCAGGAGCTCAGCCTTGAACCCCAGCTCCACCATCGTGTCCATAAGGAGCCTCCATCTTCGCTTCCTTACGATGGGGCCATATCCCCAGGCGGGGCCTCTGTGCGCAGGAGTGAGTGTCTGCGCAGATGGCCCTGGTTCATGCGCAAGCTCACAGCACTTAGGGCAGAGGGGAAGGGAGAGGAATTCTTTTAAAAGATTTTACTTATTTTACTTTTAGAGAGAGAGGAAGGTAGGGAGAAAGATAGGGAGAGAAACAGCAATGTGCAAGAGATAGATACTTCAGTCGGTTGCCTCTTGCATGCCCCCTACTGGGGTCCTAGCCGGCAACCTGGGCATGTGCCCTGATTGGGAATCAAACCCACAACCATCTGGTGCACAGGATGATGCTCCAACCAACTGAGCTACCCAGCCAGGACAGAAGGACTGTGAAGACTTCCACGTGCAAATCTCTCAGCTTCCCCTAGCTGGGAGGAACACCTGGCGCTCACCTGTCAGCCTGAGGCCAGAATGCACGTGGGCATGTTTCTGATTCTGGAAGTGGGAAAAAGGAACCCTCAGATTAACCCAGAGTAAGTCGGAGGAAGAGTCCGCTTCCTCCCACTCCAGGCTCCTAAGAGGCTGGTCTCAGCCAGGGAGGCATGGCTCCAAGCTAGCTCCCCTGCACCTCCTGTCCCTGGACGGGAGGGGGCTTTCCACTGGAACAGTGAGGGGAGGGCTGTGTGGGGGCAGCCACTGGCAGAGGCCACCCTCTGGCCCAACCGCCAACCACTGACCGCTTGGCCATGGCCGGTGCGGCCCGGCCCGGGTGCTGCCCAAAAGGGTCTAGACGCGAAGAATAAGGGGCGGGGCTTGAATGGCTCCTGCCCAGAATAATCGTATGAGGCTTTCATGTTCAGGCACCAATTAATTATCCAGACCTCCCGATTTGAAAAGGAGGATGTTTAATCTCCCGAGTTCCCCAGGGTCCCAGCCCTTTGACCCTGCTTCTTGACCCCTGCCCTTCCAGCTAGCGGAGCTCCCCAGAGACCCTGCCGCCATAGCAGCTTGTTTAGGAAACAACATGGCTGCCCCCACCCCCATGGGGGGCTTCAGTACAGGATTCTGGCCTGGCACCTCCTGATGAAGCCCCACTCATGCTTTCTCCGAGGGACTTGGCAAGCCCGGGAGGAGGGAGCAGGGCCTGGAAGGGGTCATTGTCAAGCAGTGCCCTCAACCTTAGGTACACTGGCCATTCTTTTTCCCTTTTCGGGGCATTGTGATGCAGAGAGGCTGGCCAGCGGCTCCCCTGGCTGTGGGCACAGCTGCCGCAGATGCGGTAAAAGGACCCCCAAGGGAGCCAGCAGGGCCCACGAGCTGGAACAGAGGTCTGAATTCTCCAGGCCCTGTAACCACCCAGGGTCAAGATACTGTAGAAGGTGCCCAGTCGGCTTGGGTTCAAATCCCAATTTTGCTTCTCATTAGCTTTTTGGCCTTGGGCACAGCTTCCTCTCCTGCTGACAGAGAAAATGAGAGACCTCAGGGTCTCTCATTTGCTGTAGAAATTAAATTAGATAATAGAAGTAAAGTGCTGCGCCCTGTGAGGTTTAAGAAGCTTTGGTGAATTTTACATTTCTCCTGGGAGAATTTTTTTTCCTGGCAGGTGACTCTACCCAGCATTACCCTCTTTCCCAGCCCCCACGCACCTTCGTGTCCCTGGGAACCCTAACTTCTAGGCACTACACCAAGGCTTGTGCCAAGTCGGGGTCAGTTCAAGTCTCCGGTTACCCTGAGCCAGTAGTTCTCAATCAGGGTGACTTTGCCCTTGGGGGACATCTGGCAACATCTGGAGACATTTTTTGGTATCTCAGTTGGGCTACAGGGTAGATACCTGCTAGAGGACTGGAGCTAAGGATGCTGAGCTAACCGTCTTCTGAGGCTCAGGACAGCCCCACAATCAACCATTCTCGGGCCCCAAAGTCAGCGCTGTGGAGTTGAGAAAGCCCGCGCTGAGCACAGACCAGCGGAGAGTGAGGCCAGAACAGGAAGGTGAACCAGGCGCCTGCTTCCTGCCTGACCTCCTGACCTGGGAGAGTCTGGGTGTTGTCCTACCCTGGACCCATGGGGGGAGGAGGACTGCCCTCCCTGTGATATGCTCGTTCTCCCCCATTCCCGAAGGTGTTCTGAGAAACACAAGCAGCCCACCAGGCACATGATGCATCCTGAGACTCCAGTTCCAGTCTGCTCTCCTGTGAATCAATGAGCGAAAACCCATTGCTACCGTCCCGATTGCTCAACAAAGCCTCAGAACGCATGCGTGTCATTTGAAGTCTTCAGGAAAATCTCTCCACAGTGCCAGGGCCTCCTCTGCCTCCTGGTGACACTGCCAGCCTTGCAGCCACCCCCTCAGCCACAGCAGCTCTGAGGAGGGAGCCTCTGCACCGGCTGCCAGGGTCCCTTCTGCGTTAAACCCCTGCCGGGTGCTCATCCTCGTAGTGGAGACTGGAACCAGTGAAGTGTTCTTTTACCTGGTTTCCTTGGTTACAGGCAGGGATGGAGCAAAAGGCCTAATTAAAAGGGATGGGGATGGGGGATGGTCAGTAGACAGAGGTGGGTGTATGAGATATTTCCCTGGAAATTTCTAGCACCTCCGTAATTCCTTCCTCAAAATGGAGTCTGAGTCAAACTCCCCAGCTTGCTAGGGCACCAACTAACTTCTCCCTTTTGCTCTCTCTTTGGATACTTCTTTTTATGTCGCCGAATGCTGTTATTTTTGAAGACGTTGCCACAAACAGCCCGCCCAACATCAAACAAAATCTTGATGTTTTGTTTCTTCAAATGCTCTAATTGGAGGCAGCACTAAACACAGGAGAACGCGGGCCGGGCACAGTTTGTGCCTTTCCCACCGGGCCCCACGCTGGGAGGTGGCCGTCCCTGACTGTGCGAGCAGATCTCATCGCTGGCGACGAAAGGAGTTTGATCACCACCTGGAAATTCTGTGCAAGGCATGACAGGCAGTTAGAATCTTAATTCATTTTTTATTTCTAAAATGCAAAAAAATAGTTATTCCAAAAGCCATTCGTCTGTCTTGGGTTTGGGGCAGGAGGATTTACTCCAAACCACAAGACTGTTTCAGTCCGTTAGAGCACCGACTTCATTACGGGTCTCCTTACCACACGCCCGTGAGCTTTGGCAAGAGGTTGCTGGCCCCTAATGATACAAGATTTGTCCCTCACAACATATGGGCCCAGCCTCCGCTTTAGAAGAGGTGCCGGAACGGACTCTGTCTCCATTCGCATTGCAATGGCTCCTGCTTTTTGCAGGAAGTAATGCTATATAGTCGTGGGGAGCCATGGAAACAAACACAGTTTAGGTTGTTGAGTTTTTCACGCGTTGAGTCCTGGAGCTGGTCTTCGTGAGCATGTCCCAGCTCCTCTCACTACCTGTGTGTCCCGGGGCGAGTCACGCACTTCTCTGAGCCTTAGTGTCCTCACACGTAAACCATGAACAATAACGAAGGCACTTCGTGAGTCTATTCTGGGAATTAAAATGGGTGATGAGTGTGGAGCATGCGGAAGTTAGTTCTTGCTGAACCCAAGTGAAGTGTTGTGTCTTCATTGTAATGAGGTCGTCCCCCCTTATCCCACTGCAACGGAGTCAGAGAGGTTGCCGTCCTCAGCCGACCTTCCCTGCACCAGGGAATGGTCTCGCCCTGCCCATCAGGGGGGAAGAGAAATCCTGAAGGTGCTTAGGCCAAACTTCCACTGGGACTATGTGATGTTTTAGGAGAGACAGCGCTGCCCAGCTGGTCAATGATCAGATGCTGGATTTCAGGACGCCCCGGGGACCCGGCACAACTGCAACCCCCAGAGCCTCGGCTTTTTCACCACAAGGGAGGGGGTTGAGCAAGAGGTCTCAAAGCCCCACTGAACCTTAAAGTTTGGTGATTCCAGGAGCCGTATTTCCACCACCTGGTGGAAACTGGTGATGACACACACAAAGTAGCCCTGGGGCAGGGGGGATGTGGCTTATGAAGCCCCCAGCGCCCAGCTCAGTGCTGGCCAGTGCTCGATGGATATCTGCAGATCGATCCATTGGTTAGATCCCTGGTCTCAGGGCTCCCAGCTCCTTGCTCTTTAAATTTCGAAAAGGTCAATCAATCCATCAATATATTTTCTGCAATGCCGCAGTGCCAGGTGCTGTTCGGAAGTCTGCAGCAGCCAAAGAGTGTCCCTGCCTCAATCTGACAGGCAGGTTCAGACCTTTGAGTGCATGCACACATGCATGCACATGCACGTACACGTGTGCACGTACATACCTGTGTGTGTGCCACACTCAGGAGGATTTAATGACACCGTGAGCAGCAGGTCTGTCATTTCCAAGAGGCCACCTTACAAGCACACACCCTTTGGCGGACTCACAGAGCGTCTTCCTGGGAGGCCGTGCTGGGTCCAAAGGTCTGGAGGAAGATGACCCAGCCAGAGCCTGAAAGACGACCCCAGGCACTCACTGATGCTGGCAGAACAGCAGCTCGGGCCCCTCTGCACATGTGACTATGCCCTAGTGTGCTGGGCTGGGGAGCCCTCCCAGAAAGATGAACAACCGAGAAAACCTCTAAATGAGTAATTGGTGGCTGGAGGTGCAGGCGCGAGGGGTGGTGGTGGGAATCTGGCTTCCTGCCTGTGGCTTCTTCCCCAAAGAGCACGTCTGCCTGACCCCAAATGTTCCCCATTTTCCAAGTCAGTGCCCTTGGTTCCCAGCG